TTGAAACAGAAACAAACGAGTTAAAGTTGAAATTCCCTCTTCCCTCTTCAAACACACATCCACCACAGAAGAAGAAGAAGAAGAAGAAGAAGAAGAAGAAGAAGAAGAAGAAGAAGAAGAAGAAGAAGAAGAAGAAGAAGAAGAAGAAGAAGAAGAAGAAGAAGAAGAAATACATTAAGTACTGTATATCCATACTCCAAAAAGGAGCTAGAGTATAACCATTTCTCCTGAAAAACACACAGGATTTATGAAGCGGTGTAAGAATGAAGCGCCTACCCTGGTTTGGCTCCCCCGAGCATTTGGGTTTTCGATGCTTTGCTCAAAGACACCTCAGCAGTAGGGATGTAGATTTGTTTGATTTCAGAAAAGGTTGGGAGCAACTGTATATATATATGTGATATATTTCTTTTTGAGATCTGACCAAAATTCAATTATTTTCCCAAACTGTCTTCTCGAGTACAGTTAAAATGGAAATACTTTTAACCAAATACAGATATTATAGGGTATAAAAATATAACCGGGTAGGCATTTATTGTTCAATTATAATAATACAAAGTTATCAAAGCGGGAAAGTAATGATTCTGTTAACGTTTCTGGAGATTAAGGGAAGTATCCCCACTGTTGCTCTTCTCCTGTGGTGTTGGATCCAGAATCTGCCAACCGTCAAATGTTCCGTTATTTGCAAGATCAGGCTGCCTCATCTACGCCTCCGTCCACACGTGGAAGTTCCTAAGACACAAAGCAAAATTCCTATTACAACTGGATGATAATTCCTTAAGGTAATTCTCGCGGAGACACGCCTCAGACCTCCTCCTTGACACTGAGATAGACTAAACTTTTTGGTGAATGAAGTTGTGTGTACTGGATAACAGTTGTTATAATAAGATATTGCCACCTCTCACCAAATGCTGTCTGGGGATGTTTTCTTTGCGACTCCGTAGTCGGAGTGGTACTCGTCAATGGTCAGATTGCTGTTGGTGTTGTGGGCTGACTTAAAGTTGATGACCACGCGGCAGGGGATGCCCAGCAGGCGCATCACTGCCATCGTAAAACGAAGGTTTGAGTCAGAATTTGTCGTCAGTTGAACACATTTGCCCCTTCAGAGTGAGCGAGACCCCTCCAATTCCCATCAGGATCCTGCTCACATGTTGGGGTTATTTTTTCCTTAACCTGTTAAGCCCTGAGCCTGTTTTTCAGATCTCGGGCTCGAAAATGACATTCCCAGAACAAATAACTATATCTTCACTTCTAAAAGTAAATTAATAATCTTTTTTCTCAAAGCAATGATAAACCCGTGAGTTGGGCGTAGAAAAGTCAGAATCAATATAGATGTTTTTATTGAAGTAAATTCAGATTGAACACAGTAAAACATTTTAAATTATAGTGTCCGTCCAAAAAAAAACATTACTTATTGTGAAAACCACCCTTGAATGATGGGATAGTAGACTAAAAGCTTTGGGAATCCAAACTATAACATATAACAAGTACCCTTTAGCAAGACTGATTCAAAAAAAGTGGCATTTGACCTTTTTAGAGAGATTTAGCACAACAACAAAAAAAACACTTCTGGGGTCATTTGGGTGGATTTGCCATATCTCTGGCCCCCCTCGGTCGATTTTGATGATTGACACCTCTTTTGAACCGTTAGAGCCAATAGAATCGAGGGGAAGTTCCTAGAATCCATTTAAACATTACCATTGGTAAATGTATATTAAAACTGTTACCTGAGCACATGACCCCGGCGAACACCCAGCACTGTCCAAACTTCACGGGGTGGGATCCAAGGTTGTACCATTGCCGCAGGATGGGGTAACTTCCGCTCCAGTGAGTGGGGTTTTGGCCCCCAACATATGGAGGTGACCAATTTCCCGCCAGGACCCCACGATCATCCACAGAGTTGATCTTGAAGAAAATAAGGAATCTCTCTTTTAATGTGGCCTTGTCTCTTCAAAGTTACAACTTCACGGACTGAACTGGAGGATCAACAATGACGCTGTGTACAAGAAGGGGATGAGCAGACTCTATTTTCTGAGGAAGCTGAGATCCTTCCACGTGTGCAGCAAGATGCTGGAGATCTTTGTGGCCAGTGCACTCTTCTTTGCTGCGGTCTGCTGTGGGGGCAGCATCAGAGCCAGTGATCCCCCACTGAATAAACTGAATAAACTGATCGGGACAGCTGGGTCTGTCATCGGCATCAAGCTGGACCCCATTGAAGCTGTGGTGTAGAGGAGGACACTGAACAGGCTGTTGTCCATCATGGATAACCTCACCCCCCTCTCCACCTGCAGCTGGACAGACAGATAACCCCACCCCCTTCTCCACCTGCAGCTGCACAGACAGCGAAGCTCTTTCTCCAACAGACTGCTGCAGCTCCGCTTTCACACAGGAAAACATTCCTGCCCACAGCAATAACACTTTACAACAGCTCACCTCTGGCTGGCAGATTACTCACTGCTACATAGTAGAGTTTCTCCTTTCTTTGTTTCCTGTATTAATTTTGACTATTTATTTTAATTATCCAGAATATTTTATATTGTTTATATTTGATATGATATCTTTAAAATTCCTTTTATTTTTTAATTGTTAATTTTATTTTTTCCACTTTTTAAAGTATTTGAAGTATTTGCATTTTAATGTCTGAACACACTTCTGCTTCTGTAACGGAAGTTATATTAAGGTATTTTATTAAAGGTAAACTTCGAATTGTGATTGCCAAAGTAGAGTGCTGGCACTCTTTGTAATTAATTCATAATTCATCATTAAATCTGCACGAGCAATATATACTACACAAGTTATTTTACTTAAAGGTCGCCTATTGTACAAAATGCACTTTTTTAGGTATTTTATTATTATTACTATGTATTTATTTCAACATGTGGTTTGGAACATAATATGGCATTTAGTCACGGGCTCACGGCAGCATTTAGCTGGGAATCTGCTTCTCTCTCTCTCTCTGTGCAGCTCTGCTGCATGTGTGCTCCAAAGGGGGCTAGGCCTCGAATCAGTACTTTAGTAACAGGGCTGAAATAGAGGGGTATGAGGCAGGCTACAATGGGTGATATGTTTTGTATTTTGAGCAAAAAACTTCAGAGACATGTTTTATATAGATATGGCCCAATAATATATTGCTCAAATATAGCATAATAGGTGAGCTTTAAGGTTCATGTAATGCTAATACTTGTATAGTTTTTGGTTGGACTTGTAACAGACTATTTCTAAGCTTTGGTATTGTTGCTTTTCTAAAAAGTAATAGATGTGAGTACTTCTTTCACTTGGTAAATAGCATCGTTGCATTGGTGCTGTGCACACGGCTGCCTGTTGCAGCAGCTCCCTCAAAAAGGTCCCAAATTGGGATAAATAAAGTTCTATCTTATCTTACTAAACATCCAGAAGACAACTCTGCCTGTGCTGTTGCATAAAACAAACTGACTCCCAACATTTCTGAATTTTGGATCCCAACAGTCTAAAATGTCAGCCAACAAAGGCTTAGCTGCTATTTGAGGGATTGTGGATTTGTGTGTAAGAAATAAATGCAGTATATCATACCATGGCGCTGACCACGCGGCTGACGTAGATGGGGTTACAGCGAGCGGAGACATCGTCAGCATAGTCTTTAGCATGTTTGAGGTTACGGTCCAACATCCTCAAACAAATGTCCACCATGTTGTCCTCAAACTGGAAGAGGGGAGAGCATTTTGAGTGTTATTTTATTTATTATAATGCAGATGAGAATGTTGTTTATACTTTAAATGAGAAATCATCTGCTGTTGGCAAGACATTCACATTGATCAAATTCAAACTTTGGCTACTCAAAAGACACAATGAAATGTATAACCTCTTCTGAATGTGGAATATTGGTTACATCAATTCTAAACAATTATATATAAAACTAGAAGTTTAAGAAATGTACACAACTTGAAATTGAGTGGTTTTCATTTGCTTGTACAAAAACAATGTTTTTGGACGTGTCTGTCTGTCTGTCTGTCTGTCTGTCTGTCTGTCTGTCTGTCTGTCTGTCTGTCTGTCTGTCTGTCTGTGTACTTGTCCAAAGTCCCAGGCTAAAGAGAAGATGTAGTTATTACTTCCTCTGTAGATTACTCCTTGTTCATTCATCACATACTAATTTATCTCCTTCTCATCCTTCAGATACACCCAGTCAACTAAAGACAGGCAGACAGACAGACAGACAGACAGACAGACAGACGATAGTCTTCGGTTATATAGTATTGAAATACTTTGTTGAAAAAAGTCCTGCATTTAAAATCTTACTTAAGCAAAAGAAAACAACAAATCAATGTCATTGGTGGTCAAATGTAAGTAAAATATATATAAAACCTGATTTTTAATGTGATTTTAGTTATGTTTTAATGTGTTTAGTTGCTGGTTTTATAGTTAATTTCATTGTCTGTGTGTTAAACATGCTCCGTTTTGATTGGAAAGCACTTTTGAAATGTGTTTTCTCAACTGAGTTTCAATTTTGCTAGTATGTTTTATATCTAGTGTGTTGACCATTTACAATATAATTCACCGACAGTTTTTTCAAATTAACCTTGAACCACTGAATTGAATGACTCTTTCTTCTTAACCATCAACGTGTGTCTTAGATCTGATTCCAACTGAGCTGTTAAAATAAGTTTTCCCATTAATTAAAACGTCTTTATTCAATATAATTAATATGTCCTTATTATCAGCCTATGTATCACAATCCTTTAAAGTAGCAGCTTTTGGTCTATAGTTTTAGCCAACTATAGACCTATTTCTAATCTTCCGTTCCTCTCAAAAGTTCCTTAGAAAGCAGTCGCAAAACAGTTGTGTGATTACTTAAAAAACAATGATTTATTTGAAGATTTTCAGTCTGGCTTTAGAACACATCATAGCACAGAGACAGCTCTGGTTAAAGTCACAAATGACATTCTAATAGCCTCAGACAAAGAACTTGTCTCGATTCTTGTCTTGCTCGATCTCAGGGCTGCATTTGATACTACCGACCACTGGTGGCATTAGACTTTTTCGCTGCCCGTTATTTTGACGGACAGGATCTTAACATGTCCAGTTTGTATGTGTCAACAATGAATCTTCCATGCAAACCAAAGTTAGCCATGGAGTGCCACAGGGCTCAGTGCTTGGACCTATTTTGTTCACATTTATATATGCTTCCGTTAGGCAATATTATAAGGAATCACTCTGTACATTTTGATTGTTATGCGGATGATACTCAACTATATTTATCTATAAAGCCTGATGAAACCAATCATCTAAATACAAATTCAAAACTGCCTCAAGGACTTAAAAACCTGGATGACCTTACATTTATTTATGTTAAAGTTATTGGGCCGAGTTATTGTACTCGGCCCAAAGAATCCAACTATCTAAAGATATACTAACTCTGGATGGCATTCATTTGGCCTCCAGTGAGACAGTAAGGAATCTTGGTGTTTTATTTGATCAGGATTTATCCTTTAACGCACACTTAAAACAAATCTCATGGACCGCCTTCTTTCATCTACGTAACATTGCGAAAAACAGGCATATCTTGCCTCAAAACGATGCAGAGAAACTAGTCCATGCGTTTGTTACTTCAAGGCTGGATTATTGTAACTCTTTATTATCAGGGTGTACCAAGAAGTCAGTTAAGTCTATTCAGCTGATTCAAAATAGTAGTAAGATTCATCCCGCTTTCGTCTCATTAGTATGCATAAAAAAGTGACAGGTCACACCTCCCCCCATTATGCAAATGAGCTAAGTCCCGCCTCCCCGAGGTGTGAGATCTCAAGTAGGTGTGATATCTCAAGTAGGTGTGAGATCCGTCGATAGGAGGGGGTTGATGTGTATTCACAGGTGTGAAAAGCCCCCACTGTTGCGCCTTATGGTGTATCATAAAAAATGTTTCAATCACATTAGTATGCATAAAAAGTGACAGGTGGGCCCGCCCCCCAAGTGTGTGTGTGTGTGTGTGTTGTGTGGGTGTGGGGACCTTCACCGATGGTCCTCCCAAGGAGGTGTGTGTGTGTGTGTGTGTGTGTGTGTGTGTGTGTGTGTGTGTGTGTGTGTGTGTGTGTGTGTGTGTGTG